GACACTACTTTCCTTCTCTTGCTTAATATGTGTGCAAAACCTGTTATCATCCAGCGAACGCTGAACACATTGCCACTAACACTTTCTATGTGATAGTACGGTTGCTAAATGGCACACAGAGACTGGGGTGAGTAGAGCAGATTCTAAGTCCAGTCCTGACTCAGCCATGAAAGAGTATTGTGGGTTGGGGAAATCATTTCCCTGTTCAGGTTTTCTGTCTGCAAAGGAGAGCTGTTGATCTCTAGGTTCCTGCCAGTCTTTATGGCCTAAAGTGCTGTAACTCCAGATAACTGGAATTTACCACAACCCAGGGTCTCTCCAAGTTGTCATTGAGAAGTTAAGGTTTTAGGTAGATAAAATGAGGCATAGATGCTGTATAAGGTTACAACTAAGAAGACAACTGAACTTTCTGCTTCCATCCTGAGTCCCTTGACTCTGAAAGAAACAGTTGAACTAAAAGGAACCCTCAGATGACCAGTGTGGGGTTGGAATTAGAGGTCTCCACTTCTAGTCTCATTCCGTTGTTGAGCAAACTCACATACAAGACTAAAACTGTCAGAAAAAAATATCTTGGGAACATCAAGGGAAAACTTTGCTGCCATGTCTTAGCTAAAATATGACTCTAGTGCCCAAAGCTTCACTGGGATAAATCCCAGTATCCTCTACATAAGCCTACCAGATAAACTCCAGATCAAAAAACAGAAGTCAAATGTTCCCAGTGGATAGAACTTCAAGTGACAAGACATGGAGGCAGCATTCAAAATCACCCATTTCAATTCCTCCTTGGGATCTAGAAGCTTCTACAGTGGAAGTGAGGGCACTGAATCTCTAAAGGTGAGAATATTGTAATGATGGTGTGCAGTCATAGACCCCATCTCCACCTGGCCAATTTAAGTTGGTCAGGGTGTTGAGAGGGTTAGGAAAGAGTCAGAAATTGTGAAGGTGGTAAAGAGTGGAAGGAAGTTCAGTGAAGGGGAGTGTTCCTAAAGAATTAGGGATTTTTTTCCCAAGTCCAAGAAGTAGATTAGGCAAATTCACATGCAAAAGGTGACCTGACCTGCAGGACGAGGTGTTCAGAGAATTAAGCTGGGGGCACTTGGCTCCTCTTGAGGCAAAGTCTGGCCAGAGGTTGTTGAGGAACAAAACATAGCTATATTGACAAAGAAAACAGGAGCCTCTGTTCTCATGTGAATATTTCAGAAGTCTTTTCCTATGAACCATGATGAAAAACTAGAATGTTAGAAACCAAATGATACAGCAAGGAAGAAAAAAAGAATAAAATACCAACACAGAAAGCTAAAGGACTGGATGGGAACAATGCACAAAAAAGGAAAGCAAGCAGCAGAACTAGGCCAGGGAAAGAATTAAGAAGCTATGGCCATTGGGCAAAGAAGAAAGCCATGGACCACATGGTGAGGCAAAAGCATCGAGAGGACAAGGACACCCAGTCATTCATTCAGCCAGCAATCAGGCAGTCAGCCACTCAATAGAAAAAGTGTGGGGTGGGGAGGGGGGTATCTTCAGGATCTCTGCATTGTGCTGGGTTCTGGATTTCCATGAGTGAGCAAAATGGACTGGTCTTGCTCAAGTGGAGTTCATGTCCTAGTGACTGGTCAGAGGTATCCATCCTTAACTCAGCTGGTTCTGCCCTGGTCTCCCATACCATGATGGGCAGAGGGCCAGAGGCAGCATGCTTCAGGTGTCTTCCCACTCTAAAAAGTACCATTCGTTATCAGGAAGAAAGGGATCTAAGAAGCCACCGCATCTGGGGGTAAAATCGTGGGAAGCTCAGAAAAGACCAAGCCTGACTGGAAAGGTTTGGGCAGGAAAGAAGACAGCAAGATGAGGGACTGTGATGGGGAACAGGCAGCTGCAGCTCTTCCCCAAGCCTGTTTCCAGCTCCAACTCCCCTTCCTAAGAGAGGAAAAATGAAGTGGAAACAGCAAGCTATAAAGTTGGGAGTACTGTCCATAGGAGGGAAAAGCACTTCACTAACTTTTCTCACCCTCTGGGAAGTGGCTAAAGGAAGTACCATTCTGAGTCCCTTTCCCAATTGCAGCCAGTTGACAGCTGCCTAGAGAGAATCACATGACTCTCTCCCTGGGGAAAAGAATGTTCCAAGCTGGAAAAGTAGATCTTGCCACCTGCTCCTGGTGGAATTGTCAAATTGGAAGTGGGCAAATCTGTGTGCGAGGCTTAGACACATCCGGGTGCTGTCACACATTTAGTGGGATAAACCAAATGGTGTAGTTCGTAGAAAGGTCTTTGGCTTAGATGCATCTCCCACTCCCTATCTGGAAAGCCAGAATCCAAAAATGGTCTTGGATTAACAAGCAAATCCCTGAAGGATTGAGGCTGGACACTATCTTACATCTAAACCTTCATCTGTCAGTTTTTAAACCAACTCCTATAACTCAGCTGCAGTGAAAATGAATAAGTGTTTTGAGGTGGGGGACATAGAGGGAGAGGACCTGTATTTCCCTCTGACAATGTGGACACAGCATGGCAGCCTCAAGAAAGAGGTACCCCAGGAGCTTGGCTCTGGGTTAACTGGACCTGGAGTTAAGAGCTGGGAGCAAGCGAGGAAAGGGGCTAGGAAGGAGATGACTAGAAAGGAAAGGGTAAGAATTGTGAATGCAAAACTGTTCTTTATGAGCAGAAAGCATGTCCTTGAAGGAATTGTGGGAGATTCAAGACTCTCAAATCACTGTAATAGCATTCACATTCATACCTTATTTTTTTTCCTTTTTTGTTATTAACTGAAATTCTTTGAATAAAGAAAATGCCCTTCCCTGTCTAGCTGATTTAGAAAGGAAATTTCCAGACAAGGTGGGTTTTGTTATGCCAACTCATCATGCTTGCAATCAAGAACAGGAAAAGGCAGGCATTTGTGAACAGGTTCCCTTAATCACACTGCTGTCACTATTAAAAAGAAATATTGGACAGTCTAAATATTACATTGCAATGTAAGATGAATTTTTCTGGAATTAACCATTCACAGTCAGTAATCATGTTAATATTGACTACTTTCTCCACCTTCAGAAGTTTGAAAAAGCTTCTTCCCAGTTGAGCTTCTGCCACCTGTACACGTCTTCAGTCCATCCTATTTCCAAAAAAGGCGTTATTTTAGTATATTTTGCAGCTCCATGATGGAACAGATTCCCTGAAATCAGACTGCCTAATTTCAAATCCCAGCCCTGCTAGTAACTACCTGAATGACCTTAGTTGAGCAATTCAACCTCATTAAGCAGTAGTTTCTTCATTTGTAAAATAAAAGTCATGTAACTCTTACTATTGCTAGTAAAGATTGAATTGTGTGTGAAGTGTTCATCATACTGCCTGGCTCAAAAATAAAACTTTCTTACCCTTATGTTTTTCCTAAGTACAGGCCCATCATCTGTGTGTGTGTGTGTGTGTGTGTGTAGATATGTATATGTGTTAATTTCTTTGCAATACATTGAACTTGGCAAGAAGTGTGCCTCAGTGATAAGTATTCCTGTCCACCACTGCACCATTCTTTTCCGGGTTTCACAGTATGTAAGTTTACTCTTCTACTAAATTCCAGAGCACTCTTGGTCAGAGCAGTTGATAAGCACACCCAGCAGTTACACCATGTGTCATGGCTCTGATGGGTCCCCAGCACAGAAGGGAAAAGAAAGACATAAAATCAAGACCTCAAGCTAAAATAAAAGGGTTGTGGCAGAGCCATTAGAAATTGTCCATAACAACTTCTCCTTTTTCAGAGAGGAAACTGAGGTCCCAAGTACAATCAGACTGCCCACCACATTACTCACCCAAGTGGACAGACAAAGCCTGGGGAGAAGGAATGGGAGCTTGGGAGTGAACAAAGAAAAGAGATGAAGGGAGTATCAAGATGTCCTTTCAAACCTGTTCTTTCAAACCTTCCCTGCTGTCTGGAAGGAATGAAAAGAGACACCTGGGGAGGTTCGTATTTATAAAGTGCCTTTCTAGGAAAAGTAGAAGTCAGGGGAATGGAAAGTAAAGAACACTGACCTGCAAATTCCAGATCACTCTGCACATCAGTGTTAGTACTGTGGCTATAAAGTGTGTGAAGACCTCTTTTCTAATCATCTTTTTATTTGGAAATTGAGTGATCGGGTAGGCTAATCCCCAACAGGGTTCCTACTTTAGCACCCCATGGTTTCCACTTCTGAGAGCTCTGTGGTAGTCACTGTTCAAGATGCAAAAAGACCTGAGACCTTGCTTCTGCCGTGTAGTCAATGGATAAGGTTTGTGTATACAGACAGGATGACACACGGAATTTTTACCCCATGGTGACCCAACGTAAAAGGACAAAAAGTGACCAATGATTTGGAAAAAACTGTGGTGAGTCTGACTAATAAGGAATATGGTATTACATTGGTTAGGCCAGGGAGGACCCTGTCAAGCAGGTGACTAACATTCAGGAGTCATGAGGACACTGAGGCAGCAGGAGGCATCCACACAAAGAAATGGTTGCAAATCAATGACCACAAGTTGACAAAGTCAATATTTTATGAATTTTGAATTCTTGTTAAAATATACAGCTCCAACATTCCAGAGGGAAGGAATTCATGAACGTTTAGGCTGCATGTATATTGCACTGAATCAGAGAATAAAGAATATTTTCAAGTAACAAATTTTAATACGAATTGTTTGAATAGATACCAACTATGTTTAAAATTCAGACAAAACAATTTGTGTATCTAGACTCACCACAATGTCATGTTTCACTCTTTAAGTCTTAAAGGAGCCATCAGGGATAGTCTTGTCACTGAGAGCTGATACAGCCCTCCCTGTCCATTGGGACTGTGGCCTTGATTAATTGGTCACACATGAACCAAATAAGAACAGTCTTACCAGCAAATCTGAGAAACTCAAATGTATCTGCAATCATCTGAAAGTTTTTAAAGATATAAAAAGATGTTTTGCTGGCCTGTTTTCCCTGCTGATTGACCTATTGGCTTGAAAATAATATGTATAATTCTGTTTTCTTCCAGGGTCTTTCTTCCCTGATTTCAAGCCCTCAGAAACAGTTTTTAAAATAGTATTTTGGCTCGGATACCTGAACAGCTGCATCAACCCCATCATCTACCCATGCTCCAGTCAAGAGTTCAAAAAGGCCTTTCAGAACGTCTTGAAAATCCAGTGTCTCCACAGAAAGCACCCTTCCAAGCATGCCCTGGGCTACACCCTGCACCCCCCCAGCCACGCCCTCGAGGGACAGCACAAGGACATGGTGCGCATCCCCGTGGGATCTGGAGAAACCTTCTATAAGATCTCCAAGACGGATGGGGTCTGTGAATGGAAGTTTTTCTCTTCCATGCCCCACGGATCTGCCAGAATTACAGTGTCCAAGGACCAATCCGGCTGCACCACAGCCAGGGTGAGGAGTAAAAGCTTTTTGCAGGTCTGCTGCTGTGTGGGGCCCTCGACCCCCAACCTTGGAGAAAACCACCAAGTTCCAACCATTAAGATCCACACCATCTCCCTCAGTGAAAATGGGGAGGAGGTCTAGAGGATGGGAAAGGTCAGAAGGAAGAAGGACCCCTGATACCCTCCCCCACTTCCTATTTGGAAGGCCAGCTCATCCTTTCTTGAGGACAAGACAGGCCCATTCAATGAGTGGACCATCTGGGCCTGGGGTCGGGGAAGAGACCCAGTTCATCAGGCAGAGGGTAGGGTACAGGGAAGAGGCCAGTTGTCTCTCAACCAGCTGGTTCAGAATGACACTGGATAGCATGTTCCACAGCTAAAGTTCTCTCAGTCATTCTCCTAGCCTGCTTTCCATGACTGGCCCTTTCTTTAGGACACAGAATTCCATACACAATCCAAAAGACTATAAATATAGAATAATATTTCATCATGAATATTTTGAACACACTCTAAGTTTGGAGCTATTTCTTGATGGAAGTGAGGGGATTTTTTTATTTTTGTGGCTTCTGACAGCCATATTTATGGAGAGAGGACCTACGGAGAAAGAACTGTAAGAAGATGGCCAGTATTCTGGCACATTCCTTTTAGAGTTGAAAGTTCCACCATTTCTGATAGGTCCACTTGCTCAGCTTGAGTGACACTGGATAGTGAGACTATCATTGGTTGTTTTGATTGGTTACTGCTCCTTATCCCCTAAGGGTGAGAGTGAGAAACACTGGTGTCTCTGAATGAGGTGGAGGTCTATCCTGCACAGTGTGGGCCTGGAGAGTGCACAGAAGCAATCAAAGAAAAGCATGCTTTTCCTAAGAGAAGGCAGTAGAGTGAGACTTGGTTTTGCAAATTAACTACTTTCAGGAGTTCCTAAATCAGGTTCAGGAAACTTGTTCTGTGTCATGTTAAAAGATCTAGAGGTTGGGGTGGGGGCGGGGCTGAGACAGAGGCTGCCAAATTACTCTGCAGCTTCACGATGTGGCCTAGAAAGACCTTCCCTGACAAATTGCTTACCTTTTCCAGAACTTCATGTGGAAACCCAGAGCTTATAATATTTTGAGAGGCATAATGTTGACTTACATTTCTTTCACCTGCTTCACTATTGCTTCATAGTGAATTAGATTCATCAGTGGCACCATGGAACGAGTTCTAGGGTCATTCCTGACCTTTGAAACTACTGATTTTAGCCACAGACACATGCTGACTGATCACCAAAGGACTGCCCAAAGCAGGGGTTTACAAACACTTTTGGACAGAACCCCATTTATTCTGGCAAAAGGTTCCGTAACCCACTTGACTTCATCTAATCCACGTTCTGCAGGATCTTGGGGAATGTTCTCTTTTTTTGCATTATGTTTGCCAAATTCTGATAAACCTTAATAACTCAGATCGTTACCAATGATGAAAACAGTAAAAGATAGGCAAAAGTTAAAATGTGCTTGTCAACTCACAGTAGAAATTTAAAATAAGGTTTATGTTTTTGTCATAATTCCTGACAAGAATCACTGGTCCAAAGTTACCGGTCTCTTTCCCTACATCTGTGATTTCCTCTAAGAATTTCAAAGCAGGTTGAAGCTATTACATGACCTTTGCAGCAAGGATCCTGGTCCATCCTCTTTCCTTTCTTCCCTGTAGCAACGTGGTCATTCCCTTCAATCTTTCTAAAAGACATGGTGCACAGTGCAGCAGAAGGTGGGTTTTCATGTGCATTTGGGTTCTGTGATTGGCTATGTTTGGATTTTGAATGTGACTACTTTCTCAGATTTTTTTTGGATAGTGTCTTCTTATTGGCCTGCTACATACTTGGATTCTGGCACTGAGAAGTTAGCTGGAGTTAGACTCTATTTGTGTCTCTGTATGTCCCAAAACAGCTCTATCCAACATAGGTGTCCTATCCTAGAGGCAGGCACCTAGGGAAAACTTGAATATGGCCAGGGGTTGTAGCATGCACCTATAATCTCAGCTAGTGGGGAGGCAGAGATAACAGAATTGCAATATGAGGCCTGTCCAGGGATCCTATCAGATAAACAAACTAGAAGAGCCAAAAGGACTGGGGATGGGGGGTGGGTATGGCTCAAGAAGTAGAGCACTTGCCTAGCAAGCATGAAGCCCTGAGTTCAATCCTCAGTGTCAAAAAAAAGATGAGGAAAAAGAAGAAAACTTGAGTATTCAAACCTGGTTTATCTTCTGCCTTGATAGAAACGAGTGTTGTTGCTGAGAAGAGCTTTTTTTCAGAATCCAAAATTTTGACCATCGCTCTTGGCTCTGGCTTCCCTTACAGGAAGAGAGCGCTCATGGAATGAACATGGTTTTTTTTCAGCAAAACATTATCCATGCTAGCAATGATTCTGAAACACATTTATGCCACTTCTAATCAAAATAAACAACTCAAAAAATCTTTGAGTCATCAGATAAAAACCATGACAATTGTATCCATGTAAAGTTGTCCGTAATAATCGTCTGTTACTCTCCTCTCCAGCTTCCCTCCTCCAGCTAGGAAAACTCTTAACATATTTTTCCTTTCCCATAGCAATGCTATTGGGTACAAACATGCCAATTTTATGAGAAACTGAGAATGTCACCCAAAACTGAGTGACAAAGTGGGCCAAACAATATACAAGTTAAGTTGCTTCTTACTCATCTACAAAAATATCTGTACCTTTACGCATGCCAAAAACTATCTAAAATTGTTACAGCTAAAGAAATGATGGGCATATTTTTGCTCACATATTTACTGCTTCTATGTGGAGCATGAGTTCACCCACAGTAGCAGTGGTTAAAATGTCTTCTCTGGTGTCTTATAAAAAGTAATTGCTTTGGGATTGCCTACACATCACGAAAATCAATGTGACATTATGAAGTAGGCAAAATTTGGGATTATTCTGTGATTTTGATTGTATACATTAAGAGGGAACTTGAATCTCTTTATTCAAAAATTTCCCCAGACTATTGCAAGAGTTTTAGAAAAAAACATTTTACTCATCACATCTCTTCCTTCTACCTCTCTGCTGTCTCATCCAAGACTGCTTCTGCTTGTAACTACTCAGTGCACCCCACACTCTTAAATATTGGGCCTTCTAACTCTCACCTCCCACTTCCATTGGTCCATCCATGGTAAACAGTGGTATTTGGGTAAATAAATATTCTCTTAACTTTTCTCTTAGGTCCTACTGTATGTCAGGGATGATTGGCTCTAAGCCTCTAGAAACTCTCCTCTATTTCTATTTTAGACAAGATAATCTGATGCTTAAGAGAAGTTAAGGACTTGCCCAAAGTCAAGGAGAAGCTGTGACTCACACCTGAGTCTCCCTAACTCTAAGCATGCATGTTTTCTGTAGCACTCCTGATTCATGCACAGTGAGGGGAAAGTCTTCCAGGTTAGATGGGGTATGCTAAGAATACCAACTTATGCCCAAACTTGAAAATGATTTGTTTTGTTGGGATTTGCTTTCAAATTAACCTTGGTATATATGCTACCAAACTCCAATCCAACCAAACCCAAGAGCAGATAATCATTGGAAGGGTTGGTGCCTACGATTCTACCAAACTATACCACAATTTTGGGAGGTAATGTCCCAGACTTTTGCTAAAGCATTACAAGAAGGGCAAATTATACCAAATTGGGAGGCAACGGGCATGAAAGAGAATGCAGAAGGAGCTGCATTGGCCAAAACAACAAACCCAGCAGTGGATAGGGTACATTGGATGATGTGCTGAAGTTATTGGTTACCAATCATGGATAGCATATTCTTAGGAATATGCTTAGGAAGCATATTCTTTTTTAAATTAATGCAAATAAACACATCACTCACTCTCATCTCTATTCCAACTTTTTTTGTTTTTGAGTTGAAGAGAAGGGAGGGAATTATAGGTATTTCACCAGGGCTTGCAGAGAATATGTCAAGCAAATTATTTTCATGGATGCCTCTGTGAGAAAAGGGTTCTGAATGCTAATCTCCAGGTAGCCAGAGACCCAGGCCATCTTTACAAATGAAGCATTGTTTGGCTGCTGTGCTATTTACTCGATGACATTCACTTGCTTCTGGATTTCCTTTCACCAGTGAAAGCTGCATGTCCCAAGCATCTTGACATCCCCCTCTTCAATGTGAACCATCATGCAGACCTTCTGGCTGAGCAGGTTTCAGGGTTATGGCTGGGAGTGAGATCATTTTAGGAACAATTTGCTTAGACAGGTAATTGTTCACTCTTTAATCATGGCTACTTAATCACAGCTGACAAACAGCCTCAATTGCATCTGGGGCTAGTTCTGTTCAGGTACTCTTGCCAAAAAAAAAAAAATTGCTACTTCTGCCTATGAATAATTGTTGTCTTGATTAAGGGAATAACTTGGCTCATCAGCAAAAGGAGAAGACAAGCAGGTAGAAGGCAAACTCTCTAAGCAAAAGCCAGGGTAACAAAAAGAAGGCAGAAGTAGCAAATACAGAGACATCAGAGGTATACTCATTGGTCACTCTGATCTCTTTTACAGTACTAAGACTTTTAACCATGAAACCACCTGTACAAAGCTCCAGGCGAGCCCAGTTGGAACACTGTTTGCATCTGCTCCGTGTCTACAACTATGCTGTGGAGTAGGGCTGAGCCCACCATCCTCCAAAAGCAATGGCAGCAGTGGCCTCTGGCCCTCCAAAATCCCTGCAAGATGAGTGAGTGGAGATGACGGTTATGGGGCCAGGCTGGGAAAGCAAGTTAGGATTTCAGCAGAGGACAGCGGCACATTGCCAATGTCACCATCAACATGTCCCCAGTCCCAAATGTTATCTGCGTAGGCTGAGAATGGGCCTCACCTTCCGGGTGCAGGAAAAAGTCATGCCTTCTTTGCCACTGTGACATGGCTTAGGAGTTCTCCCACCTACAAGAAAGGTTATGGGGGTGGTGAGGAGTCTTAATCAGGAAGACTTGCTGTAAATGTGACCCAAACAGGATGGTATCACAAAACTTTGCTGCAACTGATAAGCCAGAAGGTGCCCTGACACAGGTGGCTCATTCATTTCAAAAGGCATAATAATTACCTTTTCTTTTCATGTGGCCTGGGAGTTCTTACATTCCTCTCTCTTCATCTCATATCCAATGTAGCCACATTACAAGCTGGAAGTGATTATTGATAAACTATGAAAAATACAGAATTAGGTTAAAAAAAATCTTCAAGCAAAT